ACCTTTAATTTTCATAGTGCCAAACCTTTGCTCTCCATGGTCTTCCAGGCCATCAGTAACCGCCCGGAAATTTCACCCGATATTAAACTCCCAGCATTTGAGCAAAGCCTCCGCCCTTCTTACTTGAATCATTGATCTCAACCATCAGGAGTATCTAACACAATGCTTGGTTAAAGAATAATATTATTTGATTCAGGCTCCGCCGCAGGCGTTCAGGAGAAAATCATGGAGTAATCTGATTGAAAATTCCGCCACACGAGTACCCTTGAGTTTTCCTTTGCCCATGGATGTGCCTCGTGACCTGTCGTTGTCATTAATAATTTGTGTATCAACGGAGTAGGAGTTGCTGAGTTCATTCTGTATTTATCTCCCAAAAGACTTTGGGCCTCAATAGCAATAATATTACTCTGGTGATCCCTATCTTATTTGGATAAACCAAAATCTCCATATCCCTAATTATGATCTCTTGAAGGCCGTTTCTCTTTCAAAGAGCCATTATTTATTTTCTTGTATACTCCAGACTCAAACAAATGGGCCAATCAAAGGCTTAATCGGCACTACGCATGAGGTTTCTTCTCACACCGGAGTGTACCCCCAGGAAGGTCAAGGATCCGGGCCATGGATAGGAAAGGGGTCGATGTGTTGTGATACCACAACAACAGGGCAGACAGAGTCTGGCTAGCCAATAGGATTAGAGAGAAGTCTAGAGGAATATAAACCTCGATATGTGCGCACTTCTTCCAACAGACGTTCCCAGCTAATACCACTGGAATGGTACAGTGGTAAAGTAGTCGACAGGATAAACTCCTTGTGTCAGAGGCAGGGCCATAGGCATTCAAGGGTTTTCCGGTCCAGGGATGTTGAGTACGGCTTAAGCCCTGTGATTCTTTTTTTCAAAGGTTGGCACTTCGATTCTTGAACGAACTGTTGTTTTGCTTGCTTTTCGCATTTTTTCCAAGTTGTCTTTTTAATCTCGTCACCCCTTTCACACTTCTAGACTCTAGGACATGGAAACCTGTAGTTTTAATTTATATGCGGGTGTTTAGCAGCGATTACAAATTTCGATGTATTCGCTTCTATATCTATCTCCTAGAGTGTCTGATTTGTTGTCGGGCTGTTAATGATAGGTTCCTGAGCAGTGTTGTAAGATATTCAAGGAGCCGTATGTTTTCTCGGTTCAAAGGGCAAGATTGTATTGATGTATATTTAACAGTCTAAGTTATTCTACTTATATGCCAATATGAGAGACATTTGAAGACAAGCCGCTAATTATTAAAGCTCTGAAGCGATGTGATTGACAGATTTCAACCTCACTGGCTCCCACTACTCGCGTGTTTCTTTAGGAACGCATTATATCTCTCATAAAACACCGGTGTCTCAGGATGAGTAGTTATAACGGCGGGGAAACAGTGCGGCACGCCTTTGTAGCAGTACACTTCGGTATCGACACGTCCGGACTTGAGGGCGTCGGCGTAAGCAAAACCCTCGTCACGGAAGATATCAACGCCCGCGAATTGGATCACTAGAGGTATTGTTAGTTTAACTAGTTCGAACAGAACCAAGAAGAATCTTAAGACTTGGAGCTACTAACGTGCTGGTGGTAGTCCTTCGAACGAGGAAGCAAGCAGAGGCGAGTGCCTGTAATCGGGCTCGGGATTCGGAATATAGCAGTTGAGGAAAGCGTCGAACCTGACGGAACTGAGGACGACGTTGTCGGTGTTTTGAATGTGGCTACCAAGCTCGTACTTATCGTACGGGTAGTATTTAGGATGGCAGACTGCTGGGAAGTGCAGCACCTGGGCAATGACACCAGTGACGCCCTCTTCTCTGGCCATGATTGACAGAACGGCAGACTAGGAGGTGGATTAGCGGCCAAAAATGCATATAGCCTCAAAAAATAGGGAGTTAGAACACACCAGGTTGGCACCGGCACTGCTTCCTGCAACAATGATCTTCTCTGGGTTGATTCCGAGCGTTTTTGCGTTCTCCTTACACTGGGAGTTGATAGTTAGCATATATGATACTGCGAGATAAGCTTGAATATGGCCTGCATACCCATAACAACCCATCCCAGCAATCCTCGACTGGCTTCGGGAAAGGATGCTCGGGTGCCCTTGTACGACGTCAGCAAATTGTGAGATAGGCTTCGCATTCATGATTGAGAAGACGTACATGCGGTAATCTACGCTGATGACTATGATATCGGTGTTGATGGCAGCATAAACGTCCTCAGCGCCATCTACCTCGTGTCCTCCAACGCAATAGCCTAAGTTAATAAATTAACTTATCATGATCCAGGGTAAAAAGGGGTTACATACCGCCGCCATGCATCCTGTACATGAGTGTCGCATCTGGCGATACATTCGGAGATTTGTAAACTTTGAGCTCGATCAAGTGGCCGTCACGTGCGGGAAAATGTAACAGTTCGGTCTTCACTTCGCTGTATCGATCGGGACCACCCGGAGGCATGGCGGCATCTGGGTTGCCAGCAGCCTTACGGAAGGAGGGGATATCAGGCAGGCCCCAGAGCTTGTCGTAGGCAGCGCCGATAAAGGACTCAACTTCTAGGAACTCGGGCGTCTTTTCAGAGAGATGGCCATACTTTGGCAATGGCTTGAAGTTGGGGTCGATGTCGAAGTACTGGGGCTTGTCTTTGATGCCGATCATGGTGACTTTGTGGTGCCTTGCTTTGGTAACTGGTGGAATTGCTGATGAAAAGCAATTTCCTGCTGGGCGTAGCGCGGGTTCTTATACTAATTCACATCGCAATGATGAAACGAAAGCGAGGCTCTCGTCCACATCTTACACGCGCACGCATCATAATTAATAGGCGCCGTGGGGCATTGATGCAACAGTAGAACCCCGTTGGAGGCTGACTCTCCAGGTAACTTTCCTTGACGCCAAGGTGAGTGCTATACGCCGTAAAATTTCACATCATAGCTAGGTAGTTCCACTTGATATTCGTGTATGAAGATTCGTTAACCATTCTAGAAAAGTGAGCCATTGTATGATTCATAGCATGTATGGTAGTACTGTTTTGCGTATAATCAGAGTAGGTACACATGATGGTGGGTCTCATCACTATGAATCATATTGCCGCTAACCGCTTCGAGCCAATATACAGAGCTGGCTACCGCAAATGGTAAAAGCCCCTAATTCTATTGGGACCCAGTATACCAGTGTAAGTGCCACAAGTATTTCGCGTATAGCTAGGACCACTATGGGATCAGAGGCTGAGCCGAGAGGCGGGTTCGCCCGCGTAGGATCTTGAGAGGCATGAACATTATGGGGCTATCAGTATGAATCATATACGAGAGGGACCTGTCTATAGATAGGTTCCGCGCCATTCTTGGATATAAGAAGTGCACAACATCGCACAGAAATCCCGAGACTATTTCACCACAGCAGTCAAAGACAACCGCCTGCAACAATCTCACAACACTTTTCACAACACTCGCAAAGTCTACAAGGCCCATCATACTCTCGAATATATTCGACACGGTTTCGTGGGATCAAATGGCCAAGTTCACACTGCCCGAATCGGCTACTGGCCTCCGTGTAGTGCCCGAGTCTCGGTTGGACCTGCGGCCTGAGGCGCAGATAATAGAAGATCTCAAGACTTTTCGACCCATCACCTCAGAAAAGAACGTGTGGTGTTTCTGGGATAAAGGCTGGGATCGCATGTACCCAAGCTACCAATGCACCGTGTTGAACTGGGTGAGAAAGCTCGGCAGTTCTTGGACGGTTCGTATCGTCGACCTCCTGGAAGACTCGCCCAACAATATCTACAATTATGTCAGCAAGGACTGGTTTCCCGATTGTTTCATAGATCGAACGATGGACGGAAAACATGCGGCGCAACATTCTGCCGATCTAGTGCGGCTGCCGCTCCTATTCGAGCACGGAGGTGTATGGATGGACGTCGGAAACATGCTGCATACCCATCTCGACAAGTTATTCTGGGATCACCTAACCGCTCCGGATTCGCCTTATGAGATGGCCGTCTGGATCATTACTGGGCAGATTAGAAAGCAATGGGGTAGCTTTGGCAACTATATGATGGCTGCGCGCAAGGGCTGCATTTTCATCAAGAACTGGCACCTCTCCTACAAAGAGCTGTGGAGAGACCACACCAACTGCGACGGTTTCCACAGCCTACCCCTAGTTCAGGACATCGGCATTGCTTCGGGCATGGCCGACTGGGAGTTCAAGGACAAGATCCTCCAGATGAGCGATTACGTGGCTCAGATGCTTCTCGGTGACCGCACGAAGAATCTGCTCGATGTCAGCACGGGCTGGAACGGACGCGAGTTCTGGGAGAACAAGATATTCATGGTAGAAGGTATCTTCAACGGCATTCTTGGGGCTATCAAGACGGACTACGATGGCTACAAGCAAGCCGATCTCTTCACTACGTCACTTGACGAGCCGGACGAGGATAAGAGGAAGGCTGCGGAAGACTTCGTTCTGGAAGTGATAGAGAACAGCCACATGTACAAAGTCTACCACAATTCGGCAGGCGGGCGGCCGGCGCTTGGAGACGTGGTGAAGAAGGATGGCTTCAAGGATGCGACTCAGAGACCGGGCACATTTGGCGAGCTGTACAGGTACGGAACAGTGCACTGGGAGTCAACGCGCGAGGTAGAACGGCTGATACCTCAGCCAACGGGAGAGGAGCTGATTCGAGCCACGCCTACAACACCACGCGAGGGTCGTGAGAACTAGTAGCTTGCATGACGATAGATTTGGCTGAGTTAATACATGTACTACACTTACAGAACAATCATGGAACGTAAATATTAGATGATGAGTGATAACTAGCGTCAGCTAAAATGCGTATTCGGCGATAACTTAGGTCCGAAACCAAGTTTCATAATCTAACAAACGAAAAACAACAACATAAAGTAAAATCCCCATATCATCATTTGCGCTCTGAGCACGAATACAACTTCACAGAAGTAAAGACATACATAGTCTTCAAGAACGGGAAAAAGAGAAACTCTCCTGAGGGTGACTCGAACACCCGACCTGTGGATCTCTAAGATAATTACAATTACAGTCCAACGCGCTACCAACTGTGCCATCAGGAGTTGTTGGAATTGATGGATTTTATTAGCATATAAAAAAGATGGATCGCACAAAGTGCTAGACTATGGCATCCTTGTCGCTGATCACGAGCCCCTATATATTTACTCTGGATCCATCAACTGTGACATCGAGTGTGCAGTATGTAACAAGGCCTAGCAGCCTAGTGCCCGAAGAGACTTTCGAACTGCAATAATCTACTAGTTCATCAAAGATGCCAGACAGTCTAGTCTTCCCATTCAGCCCTGGCGGCGACCTAGGTTCAAGAATACGAGAGACCTTTCTCTTGCTGGCCTGGCCCTACCTACTCAGGCCCGCATTGCTATTATCGTCATCGGAAGGACACGATAATCAATACGGGTAGCTGCATATACGATTCGCCGCTTGTAGGATGCGGTCCGAACCCCTAGTTTACCAATAATAGATGCAATCCCACTACCTTGGGTCAGTGCGTGTCAGTGGTTCTCTGTATGCAACACATTTTTGATATATCTAGTTGTTGGCACGACAATCACTTACCGAAGAACTGGAACGTTCCGACTAACCAGGACTGATAAACGCTCGGCGCAGTTGGCCGATTTGAGGCTTCCGTTTTCTAATTGTCCCATTCGCTACAACTTAGTAACAAGGCACTGATTAGCATGATGTAAATCCCGGATACTTCTCTAGAAAAACACTCAAAGGTCAAATTAACATCACTCCTAGGTCTTTCAAGTGCCTTCACCAGGTAGGAGGAAGGGCAAGACGTGAACGCCCAAAAACATCACCTCGGTGCGTGAGGAAAGCGACGACAGATCTGATCTATTTAGCATCATGAAATTCAAGGCCCCATATCGAGATAGCTCCCAAGGGGGGGCTGGCGATCCCCACCGCAGCAGCTATTGACTACCTAGTTCACAACAATTTCCTTTATCCTCTTCTCAGCCCAGGCTCCCAAATCGCCAAAATAGCCCTCTGGATCGTCGCCGCGCCAGTTTCGCAGTGCAAACCAGAGGTAGCGCGCATCCTTGCCGGCCTGAATAATAGCGCGCTTATAGTCTGGTACATCAAGGAAGAGGGCCTACAAATATTTGTTCAACCATAATTCGTAATGCATGGGGCATGGAAAATATCTGAATGAGAAACTTACGTCAAAGTACAGCCTTGGCCATGTCGCAATTTCGTCCAGTCCGTCAGCGGTAACAATGCGAGGCAAGCGTGTCAGGGCGGCCGCCGCATCTTCATCAACTACCAACACCATCTGTGGGTCAGAAAGTATAGCAGGTACAATGCAACCGGTCTCCCAGTCGTATAAGGATGTCACAAGAGGTAGGCCACTTGCATCCATTGCAATTGACATGTTGTGAATGCCAAAGTCACCGTGGTCGATAACGAAGCGGTATAAAAGGTTTTCGTCGTGACCTGCGGGCATTATGTGTGGGATGAGGCGAAGGAGTGACTCCTTAGTTGCTGCGGCAACTGGACCGACCGTGTTATGATCATCTTCCCATCCAATCATGTCTCCAATGCTCTTAATGGTTGCTTCGATTTTGGACGTAAAAAGGGCAACGCAGAACTCGCGAGTGGGAGCAATGGGAATAGGAAATGATTCCGGTTTCTGCTCAAAAAGGCGTTCGCGAAGCCAGGTAGAAGCGAACCCGGGCGGGACTTGGAATTTATACAACGATGCACGGATGTGAGCGGCCTGAACAAGAAGGTGAGACTGGAAGACAACGTTAGATTATGAAGCAAATGACAGAGTTAGTATATGCTCTTACCCTCTGAGATGGGTTAAGAGTATACCATAAGTTATTCTCTCCCTCAATTTTTTGGAACACAAGCAAGCGCCGGCCTGCGATATCCTTAGGATGTTCAAGCTTAGGTCCCTCATACTGTACCGGGACCCGATAATAAAGTAGCCGAGAGGCCAAGATATCCGGCTCTGATTGTAGGAGCTGATACATCTCGGCTTCAAATTTGACCTCGGGGACCTGTACATGAATCGGGAAGCCATCAAAATCGGGCATGTTGACATCACCACGGGCTAATCGTGCTACAATGTCCAACCCGTTGGACAACTTGAAGTGAATTCCCTTTTGACGTTCAGCCTCGTGTAAGCGTAAAGCGTATTATAACAAGATTGATGGCATTTTGACTACATCTTACATAGTTGTTGGAGCCTTTGGAAACGGATGGATAATCAACCACTTGAGCACAGAGGTTTTCCTCGATTTCTCGAATAAGCAGATTGACGTCCCACTTGTCGTGGAAGGGACTACTACCGCTTCGGAGCAAAGTAAGCAGATGCTGGCCATCGAAGTCAAGGCCGTTAGGCATCTTAGGCCAAGAATCAATGACATGGCGAAATAAGAGGTTCAATAAATTTATACGAGTAATCAAGATAATTCTTTGTAAGGAAAGTGTTGAATTGTCCTCAAGCAAGGTTATCAGGGTGAGACAAACAAAGATTGGCGCAATCCGTACCACCAATCGGGTACGCGCTTATTTAACTAGCCGAAAGTTGTAGTCAAAAAAGATGTCGTTCATGGCCCGGTCGTCCATGAGGTGTGCGGTACCTTCAACCTTCACAACCACCTCGTTGGTAGCAACGGTGTGGTGGCGGTGTAATGATCGTGAGTACCTGACGGGACATCTCCGCCTCCTCTAATGAGGGGAGGTTGTTATATAGAGTAAGATCTATATAACTAGGTGTAAAAACATTCAAGGATGGCCGAAATAATTACCCACTCGGTGCCTTAATCGATGGAAGCTGTGCGCATATGATATTTTTCTCAACAGTGATTTTGCGAGACACAGCCATATTTAAAGGCTCCAACGCCATCCCAGCTCTAGTTCAATCATGTTTTAACCTACATAGCCATAGCCTGTCCAGGAAGTTCCAAGAGCCAACCATCCGTGTCTTCCTCGACGGTGTTCTCGACAGCACACTTATTCATCTCTTCCACTGTCTGAGTCTTCAATATCCCTTGCATACCGGGACTCCCGCACATGTGGAACATGCACGAACTGTTCATAGCACGCTGCAAGCTATCGCCCTGCCACCCGAACATATAGTCCGCATGCGTACCCCAACCCAATCCATCACCGAACGACCAGACAAATGGCTGCGATCCATCTTTCGGCCACATATCTTTGAAGACTGTCGTGTCCCACATCGTCTCGTAAGCGAGTTGCGGCACACGGACCGGGTGAGAGGCGGGACAAGGGCCCGCCTCTTGGAATGCCCCCCTAACCGTGCTGAACATGTGAGACTGGTGGTCCGGACTGTCAAGATTCACACCATCCCAGCACGCTGGGAAGTGGTGGATTGCCATTACTAGAAAACTCAGAGTAAGCTCGCGTCATTCAAGCGACATTGTAATCCTAGGAAGCTTTGAAGGTGTCACATTGATTTGAGAGGAGATGTTCATGCTCCATAAGCCCGCGGGGTGAAAAGGAATGACTCCGCGATTACTTACTTCCTGCAGGGCATGGCTCTTTGGGCAATTCATTTGTCTCATAACCTCTGGTCAAGATAGTCTGCAGGCAAGTATATCGGAGCCCTGTCTGGGCACTTGAATTGGTCTTAGAAGTAGTAGTTGGAGAGCCAACTGTCATTCTGAAGCCCTAAGCACCATGTTAATTCGTTTACTGCTGATGTAGGTGCCAAGTAACGTACAGGTTTAAATGCCTGAATATATCGGTCACCATTGCCAGTGAAGTCTTGCTGAGTATAATAGATTGTCATCCCGCCCCTGATATTAGGAGCATCCTGACCCTCGGTGCCAAGCTGAGCATTTGGGTACTGTGGCACTCTTTTGTATGAGCCGTTTTCATGTCTGAAATACAAAACCTACTAACATGTCAGGGCTATCGTCAAAACCGAGAATCTATATCATCAAAAGCAACCTACCGCGGTCCAATAATTTGAAAAGTCTTCAGTGTATGCGCATGTTGTGCAGCTGCCTTTCTCGCCAATGTCCCCTTGCATAGTCGCGTTAAAAGCATTTCCACCGACAATCTGATGAACATGAGCCGAAGGGATCTGACCGGGCTCGACAACTGGATCCAGGCGCTGAATTGATACGGACGAGCATCCAAACCGAAGACCGGCGTGGGAGAGCCCTGCTTGTAAGATGAGAGTGTATATAGCCTTCATCTTCACCACAAAATAGAATCGTTTCCTTGACGTCTAGTAGCTTTCGTGGCAATGATCGTAAACGCAGAGTGACAAATGATGGTGAGGTACGGTGCCGGATACTTAGAGTCTATAAGAGTCCGCACTCGAAGCTATGGGTAGAGAAAATATGCCGCCTATCACTATGCTTTATATTGCCAAGGTAATTAATATACATGTCTTAACGAGTTGCCCTCAGGACTGGTCATTGAGAGCAAGTACTATAAATTAGCCTATCCGTGCAAGGCAGTGCCAGAAATCAGGGCCGGATAATTTGCAACGATGATAAATTCAAATGCCGATTCGTCGATAAGCTAGGCACATCACATATTTAGGTATAACATGTTGATTTAATTACACCGCTTAGTCAGATGCTGTTCATCGTACTTCTCTTCCTAGTTGTGTAGTAGAAGGGGAGAATATATGGTTTAAGTAGGTATGTAACGCCTCTCGTTTCGTATAAATATTTCTAAAAAGAAAAATGTTTTTACTTAAGACTACATATATCATGATCATTGTAAGAAGGAAACTTTCGTTCTACCTGAGGTTCCCACGTCTAGCTCACCTACATCTGCCACTCTTCTCAGCTAGGTATGCCACCCATTTAAGTACTTATGTACCTCGACGGATCAGATTTCTATAGGCCCTGTAATTCTAAACCGAGATACAAGCCTTGCCACACAATAACTCCACTATTTCAAGAGGTTTTCTGCATTCCTACGTATGAGGTCAGCAGAAATCATAAGCTAGTGTTGAAAACTAAATATAGGGGTAGTAGAGAGGAGAATGAAGGGGAGGACGGGTAATTTTGCCACAATAGGATTATCATGTACCTTGTTGACATTAACG